TGCAAGTTTCAAACCTCCTTGACCCCTGGTGAGTTCAGGCTTTAAAACTACACTTATATTTCTTTTTTTTTTAAAGGATTGTTTACCTTTGGTAAACACTCTCTGATTCTTTCCTCTCCTTGAAGAGAAAAGCTCTTGAAGAAGCTGATGAAAAGGCTTTTTGCACATCAGCTCTTCAAAACAACATTGTGATGAGTTAAGTGCAAACAAATCAGGATCCGATGAATACATTTATTTTTTTTTTCTTTAAAATGCAGAATTGAATGGATTTAAGGTGGAGGGGGGGAGTGTTTTGTAAGAGTGCTCTTCAAATCCAGAATACTGGGGGGCAGTCAATACACTCAGAGAATGAGCAGAATTTACCTTCCTTTACTTCTCCATCAGTATTTCTTAACTGGTGTGTGTAGCCTCTGTCCTTCAAAAGTGACCCATCGAGCTTTTGATGAATGCAAAAGGAATTTGTTGGGCACTTGGGAAATTTCCAACCCAGAGACAATAAATGGACAAAATATAAAGTTGTGTGGCACAGTGACTCCTTGCCACAGGGAGGTAAAAGACATCACATGGTAAACAGGCACTGAAGAAAAGCTGTGTGCTTCCAGGGATTCGTGAGAGCTCTGCTTTATGAGCATCTAAAGGTGCAGGGGCAGGAAAGGGCAGATCTGCACAAACAGCTCTGCTGTGAATCCAGGAAGCTGGAAGCCAGGGTTTACTCTAGCACCAGGTTACCCAGCCTCGGGCTCCTGTACCATCGAATTATTGAGGATTCCGTGAACAAATGAACAGTTACACAGTGTAAAGGGCGACCAAGGCAGGATGCTGGGTTCTGTGGATGAAATCTACTTTCAAACTAGGTCAGAAAACCAAAAGCCTAAGAACATCTTTTTTCTTTTCTTTTTCTTTCTTTCTTTTCTTTTTCTTTTCTTTTTTTTTTTTTTGGTACCAGGGATTGAACCAGGGATGCTTAACCACTGAGCCACATCCCCAGCCCTTTTTATATTTTATTTAGAGACAGGGTCTTGCTAAGTTGCTTAGGTCCTCACTAAGTTGAGGAGGCTGGCTTTGAACTCAAAATCCTCCTTGCCTCAGCTTCCTGAGCTTCTGGGATTACAGGCATGCCCTGCTGTACCAGGCAAGAACGCTTGTTTTGAGCAGCACTAATCTGTCTTTCTTACTGTCTGTTCTTAGGATGTGTGCTATTTCTTGCTTTGCCTCCCTCCTGGCCTGAAAGCTCAGGGAGAACAGAATGCTTGTCTTACTCAGTTGGTACCCCCTGTCCCCACTGCCCTGGGGATCTGGTGCATAATATGTGACCCTAAGTGATTCTGAACCCATGAAATAATCTAGACTGTAGGCTTTTACCTCCCTGTGGTCATCTTCACCCCGCTCATTAGCATCCTCCTCTTCTCCTTCATTTCCCATCTGTTGTGCTGGTGCTAAGCACTCCCATGGGCCTGGTCCTCCTTGAGGGTCCTAGCTCTGCTCTCTGCCTGACCCAGCTAGGATTCACAGTGGGGTCTGCTCCAACTCTTCTTCCCAGGCACCTGGCACTGATTCTGTTGATTCTCTTGACATCTCTTTAGGTGCCACGAGAAAACATAAGCTAGTGTTTATCATAGTAAAGGCGAAATTGGTCCAATTACTTAGCAAAAATCAATATTTCAAACAACAGAGAAAGGAACTGAAAGCAAAGTTACATGGCTTTGAGTTATGTAAAATCCTCTGCTCTGACCCTGTTTTGGTGAATGTTTTCAGCACAAGATGCTCCAATTCTTAAATGTCACGTCAATCCTTTATTGCTGTTCACAAGGTAACAATAAACTCCGAACACAAAGAAGGGGGACAAGCCCCTCCTCCCCCTGCTGTCAGGGCAAAGACATATTTTCCTGCAACAGGTCCTTCCTTCCAATAGAGCCATGAATGCCTTTATTTCATCATTTTGGGGTTTGTTCTTGGTATTCAGAGCATCCTTTCTTTCTCTGGCTTCCTCCTTCAGAAGCATGAAGTGGAGATTCATGGAGTCTGAGAGCTGGCTTCGTGGTTTTCAGATAACTTTTTTGGATAAATTTTGGGTGAATACATTCATATAACTCAATACCTTATCCATTTAAAGAAACAAAACTACCTTAGCCCTGGTCCAAAAGGAAAAAAGGTTTGGGGGCCTTTAAAAAATAAATGATTATAGGACCACACCAGAACCAATAATCAAACTGTGGATTTTGTTTTTCTTGTGGGGAAGGATGCTGGGGATTGAAACCAGGGGTGTTTAAACCACTGAGCCACATCACCAGCCCTTTTTATTTTTTATTTTGAGACACTGTCTTGCTTGGTTGCTGAGGGCTTCATTAAGTTGCTGTGGCTGTCCTCGGACTTGCAATCCTCCTGCCTCAGCCTCCCTAGTTGCAGGCATTACAGGTGTGTACCACCACGCCCAACCAAACTGTGGACTTTTGCTATTTGTAATATAACTTAAACAGAGATTGCTGAAAAGTGGATATAAACTTCTTATGTGAGAAGTTCTTATAAAACTATAAAACAAAAAACTAATTTAGTGGTTAAATTAAAACCAGACAATGAAACCCATAAAATTCAAATAAACAACATTAATGTGAAAGATGATATGGTTTTTCTGGAACTAAATCACTGTTCAAAACAAGGTGCTGACCCTCTTGGCTTTTTAGTGAGCTCCTTTGGCACAAATGTGGTCCATGCTTTAGTGTTATGTCCAGCTTTGTTTTTACTCACTAGACTGTGACAAAGAGACGCCACTTGGTGCTCACATAAATATAAACACAAAAGCAAACTTGAGCTTTGATTTGCCTTGTGTGGATTGGCCATCTAGGTAATGCAGAACAGACTTATGTTAATGTTTTTCTAATCTATATGAACACCTCAAATTAAAAACCCTCATTAGAGCTCACAGATATATTTAAGTAATACAGGGCATATGGATTTAGAGTTAAATCATTGAATTCAAGTTTATAACAAAAAGGTCTTGATTGTAGTGCAATGAAATTTATATGTTGTCAAAATAATTTTGAACTTTTTCTAAAGAGTTCTCTGAGCTCACTTACAGTTTACTAAAGGAGAACAAGTGTTTAAATAGGAGCATAATGGGCTTTCAAAGGAATTCAAGGCCTCCTTTTCTTTTAGTTTTGGTCTATGTAGTCAGTATAAGCTTGGTTAGTTGCTATAACAAACAAATCCCAAATTGCAATGTCTTCTCCTAGCAAAAGTGCATTTCTCCAGTGGTCGATGGAGGGTTTCTCTGCTTGACAAAGTCACCTGAGATTTGACTGATGGAGACTTGGTTTTGTCATGTGTTTCTTCCATCTTTCTTGCAGTGGAAGAGGGTATGATGACTCACGCTTTGGTGCTCTAAACTTCAGCATGTCACACCCAAACTATTAACCACAGAAAGTCATGTCTGACCTAATTTCAAAGGAGTTGGGAAGTGCATTCCTACTGTGTGCTCACTGCAGGGAGAGTCAGAATATTTGTGAACAGTACTAATGCCCATCAGCCCATCTTTTGTCATAGCTCACTCATCATGAAGGCAAGATTGACAGGAAAGATACAGCCTTGATGGTTCTGTTAGCTTGTCTTTCTTAGTAAATAAGTCATAAAAAATACAAAGTCAGTCTAAACTGGGCATGGTGGTGCATGCCTGAAATCCTAACTACTTGAAGCTGAGGCAGGAGGATCATAAGTCTGAGGCCAACCTCAGCAACATACAAATGTCCCTGTTTCAAAATAAAAAATAAAATGGACTGGAGATATAGCTTAATGGTAGAGCACTTGCTGTCAAGGCCCCGGGATCAACTCTCAGTTCAAAAAAAGCAAGCCAGTCTATTGCTATTACTGTAGGTAGAAAAATAAATGCATAATTGACCCAAACTCCAAGTTTTATGTTTAAAGGTAATGAATTATTTCATCTTTCTTCCTGGAATATAATTTATCTGAATGGTTCTTATGGTAGGAAATTTAACTTTGGAATTTGGATCCTGTGGTCAATATTGCTCAGCAAACAGGGCTATGAAAACTTTCAGGGGTACATGAAACTTTTAGGGGTACTTGGTGAATATCAGGGTTTTTTATGTGTGTGTGTGTGTGTGTGTGTGTGTGTGTGTGTGACTGTAGTTACTGAGGGAAAAAACTATGAGTGTCTTTGTATTTTAAGTCTTGTATTTCATTTTTAAGTGGCAGTGGGATCAAGCATAATTATGCATGTAGTTTGTATTTAAATAAGGCATGTGAGTGGAAATATCACTTAATTTGCCTCTCAGAAATCAGCTCTCAATCGCAATGTTGTAATGTGCCATTAAAAGTACCTCATGCTATGATAATTAAATATTATGTTTTCCAAAGATGCTAAATGATATCTCCTGAGGGTTTCAAAATTTGCAAATGTCTCTATTTTATATAATGGAAATTTAAAATGAGCAAGAATAACTATTTTATAAATTGAGGATTTAAAATACAAATTGAACAAGCTCATGCTCTCCAGATATTTTATTCTATTATATGACCAATGATAAATCTTTAACTATCTGGATGTCGTGCATAAAGATTAGAAATATTTCTCTTTTGTCCATAGACTGTATTAGATATGCTACTTTGTAGTCTTCTTTGGGTCATTGTGTTTTTTAAAAGTAAAGTAACTTCTTTTATGATAGGTAGTATAAATCGGGACGAAAAACAGTTATTGCCTTTTATGTCTAATTATAGAAGTGAAGCATATTCACTGCAGGAAAATCAAGAATTAGTAAAGAACATAAAGAACCAAACCAAACCAAACAAAGCAAAATTTCAAAACCTAGTTATAATCTCACTACCTAAGAGCAATCACTGAGCACAGATAGCATTTTCTTACCAGTGTTTCTTTAAGTGTGTATATGTGTGTTTGTGTGTGTATGCACACAAGCACAGCATAGTTGTGATCATGTATACAAAAATTTAACCTTTACTCGCCTGTTCTATAATCTTTTCCACTGAATTAGGTAACCTTCCCCCGAATTCCAGAACATTGTTCTGCTTGGGATAAAGGCAAAAGCAGTCCTGGTTCACAAAGATTAATCTGGTGGGATGCTTTTGGAAGCAAGGATCAGAAAACTCGACTCACACTGGCTTGAACGGTAAGGACATTTTTCATCTCACATTGCTTGATCTAGTGGCACAATAATATCTTCAAGAACCAAGGTTCTTCCCATTTCTTTTGCTGACCACCAGTTGGCTTTGTCCCATGACCCATCAATCAGCTTCTTTATATATGTCTAGAGGGAGAAATAAAGACCTCTCCCCCATGTAAAATCAAAGTCTCCCATTGCTTGGGAGCCCAGTGGGTCCCATTTAGCCTCCCCTTCCACTCTGGCACCATTAGCTGTGGTTTCACGCAGTGTTTAACCCTGGGATCTGGAAGGATTGACTTCCATCTGTTGGGAACCATCCCTGGAGCTAAGGGTGGTATCACTTCTGCATCACCTAAGTGTATGGGGGAGGGGGTCAAATGTGTACATGAGATTGGGATTCTAATGGGAAATAGGGGATGGATGCTGCATGGACATACAACGTCACTCAATAAAAGGGCCCCATACAATGTTACCCCTGTCCATGTTATCCACATCTCCAGTCTCACTTTGCACCAGGGTCCTCCAATTTTCACCTTTTTCTTGATTCTATTTTCTTTCTTTTTTCTTTTCTTTTTTTGATGGTGCTGGGGATTGAACTCAGGGCCTTGTGCATGCAAGGCGGGTACTCTACCAACTGAGCTATATCCCCAGCCTCAATTCTAGTTTCTATAGGTCATATTCTAAACCTTGGGACCTCTGTACATGCTGTTTCCTCTTCCTGCTTCTTCCTCTTTCCTTTCTTAGTGAACTACTTATCAATTGCAGCTCAGCTTCCATTTCCCCTGATCAGATCAAATCCCTTATTCCTCTCCTTTCTAGCATGTTTGTGTTTAGTCTTTATCTAATAAGGTCTTTCTTGACTCTTTTTTTTCCCTTTCCCCATAAACTCTGGCCTTCCTTAGGGCAGAGATCACTTCACTGTTTTATTTCCTGGGCCTAATATTGTGCCTGAAATATGTAAGGTGTTCAACTAATTTCTAAATAAAAAGTGAGTGACAAGCTGATTTTAAACAGAAGTCGATTGCCAGTCTATAAAGATAACATTTAACCTTCCAAATATAAAGTATTTATCCTTGTTTATTTCAAGAATTAAAGAGTGATAACTATCTTTTCTCTAATGTATGTTTATTGCACCTTTGTCTAGTTTGAGATAACAAATTGTGTGGGTGTGTCTCTGTGTCTTCTATTCTGTTTCATTGGTTTTCATGTCTGCTTTGTTGCCAATACCATGCTGGTTTTGTTATTATAGTTATGTAGTATAATGTAAGGTCTAATATTGTGATGCCTCCTGCTTCATTTTTTTTTCCACTAAGGATTGCTTTGACTATTCTGGGCTTCTTATTTTTCCAAATGAATTTCATGATTGCTTTTCCTATTTTTATAGGAATTGCATTTAAACCTGTATAGCACACTTTGGTCAGTATGGCATTTTGACAATCTTAATTCTGCCTCTCCAAGAGTGTGGTAGATCTTTCCATCTCCTAAAGTCTTCTTCAATTTCTTTCTTTAGTGTTCTGTAGTTTTCATTATAGAGGTCTTTCACCTCTTTTGTTAGATGGATTCCCAGGTATTTGGGATCCTACTTAGAATAAGATGTACTCCATGTTTGTATAAATAAGTGAAATTATACTCTACTGTCACATATAAAAAAAAAGAAAGGAAAACAGAAAAAAAAGAAAGTAACAACAAAAAAAATGATAGTGAAACTCAACTTTAGAGACTTACATGCTGAGATTTACATTAGAGAGTTTAAATTGATGTTGCTTGGAAGATATTTAAATGAAGGACAATCTTGTTCTGTTAAAAAAAAAAAGAATGACAGTAATGGTATTTTACTATTGATACCCCTGTGGGGCAGGGTGTTTAGAGTTCAGAGGGTGGGGAGGGTATGGTGACAATTTGTGATACCCTATGGTTAAATAATGACCTACCACACTATTGTGGTAGATCTCATGGGGTGGATTTTAGGGATGAAGGTCATTGGGCACCTCCTTTCCTTTTCTCACTTTGTCTTCCATGAAGTAGATGTCTTTTTTTTTCCCTCTAAGAAAAGAGAAAACTATGGCTATAGATTATAATGATAAATGAAAATATAATCAAGGTGTATAGTTTTTCATGGGTAATATTTTTCTGGGGTTTTTTTAAATGAAAAAAATACAGATGTCCTTTTAAGAAACTCAAGAATTTATGCATTTTAAACCTGCAATGTATTGAAGATGTATTGAAGAGTATTGTTGATTGTAATGACTACTATGTATTAAAATACTAATAATTCCCAGAGAACAGATATCAAACTTTAATCAATAAAAATACTAATATGAATGATCATGGTAGTGATGGGGGAGATAGAGATGAAATCTATTTTGCTGCAGAAAAACCATTAGCTTTTATTTGCCTCTATCCATAAACCTAAGGACACAGGGAACATGCTTTGTTTATATTATGTTGAAGGCTACCTACTATCTCATGGTCTGGTGTTAATATAATTTTTTTATATTACTATCTCATTGTCTGGGCATCTCATATCTAACCTTAAACTATCAGGTCATTTCATTTCCCTCTACCTCTTGCTATTATGATTGATGCTTTGATGACCATCTCACACATGTTAGCACAAACCCACATTCCAAGCTAGGTCCTACAGACAGATTCCCAGAAATAGAATTCCTGGGATCTCCACCATTAATGTCCAGGTTCCAAAGCCTTCTGTGAAATCAACATTCCAAAAGTGCATTGGTTTCCTGTGTTTCTGAAATTGGAAAAGACGACACCAGGAAGATGAGTGTCCAGCTAGGGCATTGCACTGATTCATCAGTCATGCTCAAGAAGAGGAATCCGCAGATGTGGCCGGGGTGGAGGCTGGGGACGGAGGCCAAGGGTGCAGGTTGATCATACCAAGTTCGTCAGAGAGATGACTTTGTTCCTTAAGTCAGGAGGACATTTTTTTGCCCAGATCCCAGTGTGTGTGAGCCCTGAGGGAAATCCAGGTGAAGTCTGCATCAGCAGCTCACCTTTAAATATTGGATTTGGAATGTGATCAATCAACAAGCCACAAGGGAGGGAGTCTAAATAAAACATGTCTCTTGCAAAGAGGGCAAAGCTGCAATTTGCCAAGTGCACTGTAATTGCTTCTGGTTAATTATCTCAGTGGTGAGCTGAGAGCAGCACAGGCACACGTTTACATCCACACTGTGGATAAAAACAATGCTACTCCTTGGATCATCCCAATTTTGTTGGAGAGACGTGGACAATGCACATCTATCTGGTTCCCTCGGAGGGTAAGAGATAGACGATAACTTCAGATGGCTCCACTTCTGGGGGTTGTTCATTTTTATCATCGCTATAATTATTTACAACAATTATAGCAATATAGTTATTAATAATAACTACTAATAAGTGCAATAATACTTGCGGAAGGAGGTCGTGGGGCTAAGCACTTGCTGTCAACTCCTGGGGTGCTCACCACAACTGTAAGAGGGAGTGTCATTTTCCCTCATTTTCAGAATTGGGAACTGTAGCTTAGATTTAGATGTGGTGTCCCCCAAAAGCTCACGTGTAAGACAAAGCGAGAGGGTTCAGAGGAGAAATGATTGGGTTATGAGAACCTTAACCCAATCAGTGAATTAATCCCCTTAGGGGATTAACTGGATGTGGCTGGAGGAAGGTGGGTGTGGCTGGAGGAGAGGGCTTTGGGGGTGTGGCTTTGGGGTCTCTATTTGTCTCTGGAGAGTGGAGTCTCTCTCTGCTTCCTGATCACCATGTGAGCTGCTTCCCTCCACCACACTCTTCCTCCATGATGTTCAGCCTCATCTCAAACCCTGAGAAATGGAGCTGGCCTTCTATGGACTAAGACCTCTGAAACTGTGAGCCTCAAGTAAACTTTTCCTCCTTAAATTGTTCTGATTAGATCTTTTAGCGCAGCCATGAAAAAGCTGACTAAAACAGAGATAAAGTGACTTGTTCAAGGTCACTCATGTAACATTGAATCCCAGTTGTTGTGCTGGGTTTCAGGGAATTTTCTCTTAATTCCTGGAGCAGCTGGGGCAGGTGTTCCCCCTGGATTTCCCGGGACCCCTTTTACCATGCAATGCATCCATCTGCCAAATGCCAGAGACATTGCTGTTAGTAGGTTACACCTGAAACCCTTCAGGAGTTTTGCACTTCAGAAACTAGAGCTACTTTACAGCTGGAGGAACCTAACAGTAAGTACCGATCCCTGACCTGCAGCAGCACTTAGCTAGTATTTAGATGGTGTGAAGTATAAGGACCCAGCTCCCTTGTTTTAAGATGGCTCTAATTCTGCTACAGCTCCCTGAAATATCAGCCTCTGGCTAGACTTCACCTAAACTATGTCCTTGCTTAATTTCTTTTTCCCTATTCTGCTTCCTGCCCTCCACTGGGGTTTCCCCTGAGAACACTCCCTGAACAATGACTTTCACACAGATCCCCCCTCAGTCAAACCAAAGACACCCACTAGGTTAAGATGGTTCTCAGTGTGTTCACTGATACGCTGAAGGGACCCTTCTCACTGAAGCAGTGCCACCTTGCCTGGTCTATATGACCTTGACTAAATTTCTTATGTCTCAGGGCTTCAAGTCCCTTCTATGCAAAATGAGAGGACTAGATTGGATGGTCTTCAGAGATTCCTTCTCATCCTCAAAGTCACTGAACTTTCCATTTTCTAAAGTCCATTTGTTCGTAGATAGCTTTATGCCTGCCAAAAGAGGGACTTTGATTTGGTAGAATCCCAGAGAGTGGGAACTTATTGTTCCCACCTCTAGTCCTACCACAGGACACTCTTGAAGAGACTGGAATCCACTAGGGCCTGGCATGTGGGTACTGTGAGATGGAGTATCCCGTTTAATATAACTGTCCTAAGGTTAGACAACAAGGAAGCATCCTCTAGGGCAGGGAAGTTATGGCTTGGGGGTGGGGGGTAGGCAGGAATGCCATTGTCATGTGAGCACAGTGAACAGATGGAATGCATCATCAGACTTATCAAGATGGCAGCCACCAGTGACTTCAACGAGAGTAGATTTAATGCAA